TTCCGCAGCATAGGGCACGACATTTCGGGGCAGCGCAGGCTTGACCAAACTCGATGGCTCAGTACCCTCGGGGCCAGGCTGCTCGCTTGAAACCGAACCCATAGCTGACGCCGATGACGGATGCTCCCAGGGCTTCGAATCGGGGCTAGTGGGTTCAGGGCTCCTGACTTGACTGTCCGACTGATGCAAGCCAGAGGAGGCAGCGAGCGCAGGCGGCGGGTCGAATCCGAAGTTGGGCTCGTTGGCCCACGGGCCCTCGTCCTCCGATTCGAAGCCCAGGAAATCACCATCATCAGCGTCGCCGATACCTGTCTCGGCTTCGCTAACGACGGCCTGGGGCGGGGACGACGCGACCATGCCACTCTCTAACTCATGCTCACTCTGCTTGACGGGTGCAGGGAACCATTCGCGATTTGTTTCATGCCTACGTTCCCTGGCGGCTTGCTTGCAAATCCTGCGCTGAGCTTTGGCAGTGCTACTCTTGGACCCCTCGACAGGCTGCTTATGAGGTCTGGGGACAGACGGCAGGCGCGCGGGAAGGTCCAAATATCTCGTGTAAAGCTGGGACCCCTGGGCAGTCAGCTCAAGAGACAAACCTACATGGGGCTTCCAGGGTACATCGGCGATTGCACTCAGACTGCGGATGTATGGTTTTGCCGCTTCTGAGCAAATCACGTAACCAAGGTGCGAAGGCCTGTGCTCACTATTGGCAGGTGTGCACGTGTACTCTAGATTCGACCGAAGAATTGCTCCGCCGATCATCTCCAAAAAACCAGTGCGGGCCATATCAGGAGGGGACATATTCCAATCTCCTATGGCAATCCAAGGCAACTGTAGTGTGGCCAAGAGGCTTCCAAGCTTTCGAAAGCGCACTGAATTTGCCTGCCCGAAACCAACTCCAGAGTGGCCATATACAATGCACAGCACTAGACTGAAGCCTCTCATGTGAAGCTGCATGGGCAGGAAACCGTCGAACATGCCGCCGCGTTCCGCTCGAAGTCCTTTGGCCGCTCTGGCAGCGTCCAGAAATTGAGCGGGTCTGTGGTTCTTGGCCAGCAACCACCCTCCTCCCTCGTTGGCCCGCTCCTCTTGGGAAGAGCAAGCCCACCTCGACTTGGGCCTTGCACCATTGGCGAAAAGTTTGGGCGATCGCCCTCGTGCCTTGCCCTTCCACTTGGGCACGTCACATGCCCGAACATGAGATTCCACCACCGCCAGGTAGTCGGGTGACTGCGTTTGGTTGCACAAGTACTCCCATGCCTTGTCCCCCATGCAGGTCACATTCCCACGAAAGACTCGAGTTGTAGCCCCAGTCTTCGTACCGTCCGAAGGTGGTGACGCTGAAGTAGCCGAACTTGTACTGGTAGGTGGGGCAGACTGCGCTGCCGTGGCCCCCGTGGCCTCCGAGCCTAGTCAAAGCTCGGCGTCGCTGCCTGCTGCGCTCGCCGCGACTCCGCCTCCCGAGGGGCAGCCATCGCGAGCGGTGCCACCCGAAGGGCCTCCGCTGGGGGGAGCACCAGAAAGGGGCCCCCCCGCGAGACACTGCCTGAGCGGCAGCGAAGCGTGCCGCGGACAGCCTGGCAGCCTCCTTCCTCATCCTGTCGGCGACGACAGGGGACGGGCTGACCTCGTCGCCCTGGTCGACCTCGGACTCCTGGGCCTCCTTGGGCTCGCCGTCCCCTGGCTTGCCGTCGTCCCCTTTGCCGTCGACCCTTCGCTTCTTCTTCGTGCGGTCCGTGACTTCGGCCTCCACCTTCGCCACGCGCTCCAAAAACGCTTTGAGCTCGCTCTCCTTAGTCTCGAACTCCGACTGATACTGCTGCACGCCTTCAGCTTCCTCAGCTGCTGCTTGTCCGTCTCCTCGCACTCCCAATCCTCGAACGCGTCGAAAACCTCGCTGTTGATGCGCACCTCGAAGGCGGGGTCGCCCTTGCCCGCCTTGTCGGTGCCGCCCTTGGCCTCCTTGGAGACTGCTGTGTGCAGGCCCTCTGCTTGAGCCAAGGCCTGGGCTGCATTCTTCTTGGCATCCTCCGCCCTGGCCAGCTCGAACGCGGCGACCTGCTCCTTCTGCTCCGCGTTCTGCAGCTGCGACCGCAAGCGCAAGACCTGCGTCACGAGCTGCTCGTGGCGGTGCGACGCTGCACGCCACGCCCCGTCCGCCTGGCGAACCACGTCCGCCTCAGACTTGGCGGCCTCGGCCGTGCTGCGCACCGCCAGCTGCTGACTCTGATGCTGCAGCGCCTGCTTCATCTCATCGTTGTCGGCGGCCTCGATGGCCTGGCTCAAGAGTTCGGCCAGTTGCGTCTGCTTGGCCTTCTCCTTGGCAGCCGCTTTGCGGGCGCCGCGGGAGCGAGGGGCATCACCACCCGAACCTGCTCCCGCGCCCCCGCCGATGAACACAGGTTCCATGTCGAACGATACGCTCTTGTTGCTGCCAGCTGGCGAAGCCGACCTGAGGCGGAACAACCGAACCTTCTTCCCGCAGTGTCCGCACTGGCAATTATTCTTCATGAGCTTATCGTTGTACTCAGGGCGCTTGCAGTGCGCACAATGACTCCATGGGCGCAAAACCGTCATGGCTGAACTCCTGCTTTCGTCGTCCCCCTGCCTGTGGGCAGTAGGCAGGGAGAAGGTACTCAAGCACCTCGCTAAGGTACAGGAGAGGCCCGTGCAAAATGCTCGGGCCGAAATGGCTTGAGGGGGGAGGAGGAGGAGGAGGAGGAGGAGGCGGAGGGGAGGGGGGAGGTATAGGAGGAGGAAGGAGGAGGAGGAGGAGGAGGAGGAGGAGGAGGTAGAATGAGGAGGCGGAGGAGGAGGAGGAGGAGGAGGAGGAGAGGAGGAGGAGGAGGAGGAGGGAGGGGACGAGGAGGAGGACGAGGAGAAGGAGCGGGAGGAGAGGAGTTGGAGGAGGAGGGAGGAGGAGGTGATGTGGGGAGGGGGTGGGCAACGGGGGGAGCAGGGAGGAGTGGGAGGAGAGTACATATCAAGAGGGAGGTACGGAGAACGAGTGATGGGGGAAGGAGGCAGAAAGGGGGAGGGAGGAGGGAGGAGGGAGGACGGAGGAGGGAGGAGCAGAACAGGACGATGATGATGAGGAGGAGGAGGAGGAGGAGGAGGAGGAGGAGGAGGAGGAGGAGGAGGAGGAGGAGGAGGATGATGATGATGATGATGAGGAGGAGGAGGAGGATGAGGACGAGCGTAAGCCCAAGGCTCACCAACGAGTGTTGCAATAAACCCTCCCTCCAAGTTCCCTCTTTTGCGGCCCCTAGAAAGGTTCAGTTTCACTGAGTGAAGTGCCTCGTTGGGAGACGACCGTTTGAACATCCGGAGCCGTGCCAGAACAGCATTATTGGGACTTCAGTGCGGCAAAATCAACATTGCTGCTGCGTCCTACGATCCTGGATCTCGCCAGAACGCCACCCTTTGCATTTTAATACCGCGAATTTGCGTAACCTTTGCGCCCTGACAGTCCCACATCGTGCCAGAACATTCCTGGGGCGTCAACCATACGACTCCTTGAATTTGCTGTAAACTCACGTAAGGCGAATGTGCGCGGCGCCAAGGCGAGAGCCACTTTGTTTGCAAACACCGCCCTCCATCCGTGAAGCCTTTCTGGCAAACTTCAGAACTTCTGCGCGCGGCGCGAAGGCGAGAGCCACGTTTTGAAGACGGCCCGCCCTCCCCCCGTGACGCTCTTGCGAACGCTGCAAAGACGAACGACTGTGCGCGGCGCGGCGCTGAGTGGCGAGCCACACTTCGAAAGCCACCCGCCCTCCATGTGTGATGCGGTTGCAGCTCCCACGCTTCGGGAGCACGCGTCGCGAGGAAGTCTCTGAGGCGAGACGCCTGGGCCGCCCTGCCGACACGCCTCGTGGTGCGGCCGGGGGGGGGGGTTGTTGATAAGCGAAGGACGGGGAGGCCAGACGAGGAGGAGGAGGAGGACGAAAAGGAGGAGGACGAAAAGGATGGATGATAAGGAGGACGAAAAGGAGGAGAGGGATCAGTTATTAATAAGGAGGAGGAGGACGAAAAATGATTGATGATAATGGTGATGGGAATGGTGAGGGTGCTCGTGGTCATGATGGCGATGCCGATGCTGAACCTGATGATGCGGAGGAGCAGGACGACGACGGTGATGCTGGTGCTGATGCTGATGCTGCTGCTGATGATGATGACGATGATGTTGATGATGATGATGATGATGATGATGATGATGATGATGATGATGCTGATGATGATGCTGCTGCTGATGATAACGATGTTGACGATGACGACAAACGACGGCGACGACGGTGCTGCTAATGTTAATCAGTGTGGCGATTGGGATGGTGATGATGGGCATGCTTGCTACCATGGTGATGGGGTAGTGGTGATCATGCGGCTGACTATGGTAATGACGTTGATGGCTTTTTGATGATGACGATGATGATGACAGAGACGGGGACGATTATGCTGGTTGTGATTGCCGTGTTGGTGATGAGGATAATGATAATCAGGATGATGGTGAAGATGATGCTGCTGTTGCTGCTGCTGCTGATGATGGTGAAGGTGATGATGGTGATGATGATGATCATTCTGATGATGATGGCGATGACGATGATGATGGTTGGTGATGGTGGTGGGTGTGGTAGTGGGGAGGAGGAGGAGAAGCGGGCAGTGAGGAGGGAGGGGGAAAAGAAGGAGGAGGAGGACCAGAGGAGGAGGAGGAGGAGGAGGAGGAGGAGGAGGAGGAGGAGAAGTAGCAGGAGGAGGAGGAGGGGAGGGGAGGAGGACTCAGTAGAGTAAATGGCGGGGGAGGAGGAGGAGGAGGAGGAGGAGGTGGTTGGAGCCTTGAGGAGAAGGAATTACAGGAACGGATGACGAGGAGGAGGAGGAAGGAGGAGGAGGAGGAGGAGGAGAGGAGGAGGAGGAGGAGGAGTAGGAGGAGGAAGAGCGAGCACGAAGAAGGAGCACGGCGAAGGATCATGGTGGGGACGCAGGATGAGGACAAGGGAGATGAGGCCATATATTGTTCCCGGCACGGGCTTTACACCTGGAGACTTCTTAGATTGTGGCTGACGACGTGCGGGTGATCGAAAGAGTCGTTCTCCTTCCCCTTCTCCTCCTCGCTCTCCCTCGCTTCCTCCCTCCGTCCTTCTTTCCTTTTTTATTGCTATACATATATATATATATATATATATATCTTTCCCTCACAATCTCTCACGTCCTTCTCGTCCTTGCCCTGCTCCTCCTCGAGACAGGAGAGCACGACCAATCGCTTTCTTCTCCGGTGGAGTGCTCTTTCTGGGCCTGTTGGGGACCTGGAGAGACAGCCAGAGATCTTATCTGAAGGCCTTTGGAGGCCCCCTAGGGACTTCTGGGGACATTCGGAGACCTCTGGAGACCTCCACAGACCTCCAGAGTCGTCTAGACCTCCCCTGCTCCCTCTTCCCAGCTCCCCCTCCTTTCCCTCGCTCTCCTCGCCCTCTCTCCTCCTCGCCCTTCTCCCTCATCCCCCCTCCTCTTCCTCACTCCTCCTTCTGCTCCTCCTGCTGCTCCTGCTCTTCCTCCCTGCTCCTCCTCCCCGCGCTTCCTCCTCCTCCTCCTCCTCCTCCTCCTCCTCCTCCTCTTCCTCCTCCTCCTCCTCCTCCTCCTCCTCCTCCCTCCTCCTTCTGCTTCCCCCCTCTCCTCCCCCTCCCGGCGGGCCGCGCGCCGCCGCGCGCGAACGCCCTGCTTGACTTCGTCAGCAGGCGCGCCGCGCCGCCCCGTCTCCGCCCGCCGGGGCGTCGAGGCAGGGAGGGTCCTCCTCCTCATCCTCCTCCTCTTCCTCCTCCTCCTTCTCCTCCCTCCTCCCTCTTCCTCCTCCTCCTCCTCCTCCTCCTCCTCCTCCTCCTCCTCCTCCTCGGGTCGCCTGCGGCCCCGGGGGAAGCCGTCCACGTCGACCCCCAGAGCACACGCGGCCCTGGGCGCGGGCGAGGCGGGCGCCGAGGAGGTCGAGGCAGGGAGGGGTCAGGCTTCGCCTGAGATTTCCTCACCACTTAGGACCCTGAAGGTTTAAACCTGGTAACAGCTTCACGGATGGAGGGCGGGCCGTTTTCAACCTGTGGCTCTCGCTTCAGCGCCGCGCACAGTCTTTTGGAATAGCACTGCAAGAGTTTCACGGATTTCCATGGTCAGCGTATCAGGAACGGTGTTTTGGAAGTGTTCAGGATAATGAGGGTGCAGCAGTGACGTTGATTCGCGGTGTTGAAGTCCCAGAATGTTTTTGCATGCTTCAGGGTCTTCAAACGGTTGTCTTCCAACGAAGCAGTTCCGCCAGTGGAAATGAACCATTGTATGGGTCCGATGCAGAGGGAGTTTGTTGGTTTTACACTGGTCCTCCTCCTCCTCCTCCTCCTCCTCCTCCTTCTACCGTAGCCATTTCGGCGCAAGGCTATCTATATATATATACACATAAATGTATGTGTGTATGTATACACATAGTTGTATATATATATATATATATATACACATCGATGTACGGAAGCAAATCGTGTTACCAAATGGAGGCGCGGTATACTTTGGTGGAGGACGACTGTCATGGTGGGCCGTCCCCCCCCGCCTCTGCACGGACGGTCGATGAGGCCTCCGACGCCGAGGCGCAGCCCCTCGGCGCGCACACCTCTGGCCGCCGGCGCTGGCGCCCCATTCGGGGGCCGGGAAGGTGCTGGCCGTTTCGGCGTCCAGGGGCCCATGGGCCGCGAATGCCCCCAACAAACTGCTCAAGGATGAAGAGCCGGTTCCTGGGAAGGAGCCCAGGTCTTTGAATGTTTTTGAGGAGCCACGCTGTGGGAGAAGTGTGACGACGGATGCCTGGGTGAGTGGCTCTAGACCGTGCCGACAGTCTTGTAGACTCGAGCCTGGGTGGCTGCGGAGCGTAACTTGTACATTCCTGCACTTAGTGGGTTTTGGAAACGGCAGTGCCGTCATTGTACCGGTTCCAGAAGTCTGGGTTTTGATTGCGTAGCACGGGCGGCGGCAACGTCGGCAGTCTGCGAGGCTCTGAAGAAGCCCGCCACAGGCGCCTCATTTTAACAAATTGTACACCGAGCCCGCCGCAGGCGCCGATTTGCCGTTAAAGCAATGTGGGTGGGTCGTGTGGTGGGTCGCGGGTGGGTCCCGGGTGTGTCGCGGGTGGGTCGCGGGTGGGTCGCGGGGTGGGTCGAGGGTGGGTCGCGGGTGGGTCGCGGGTGAGTCGCGGGTGGCTCGCGGGTTGGTCGCGGGCGGGTCGCGGGCTGGGTGGCGTGGCGGGTGGGTCGCGGGTGGGTCGCGGGGTAGGTCGCGGGTGGGTCGCGGGCGGGTCGCGGGTGGGTCGCGGGCGGGGTGGGTCGCGGGCCGGGTCGCGGGGGGACGACGACGACAACAACAATAACAACAACAACCACCACCAACAACAACAATAGCAATATCAGCAACAACAGCAACAACAATCATTTTAAGACTGTTCGCTCTTATCTGCTTGCGAGCCACTCAACACGAATATCCCGAATCCTCGATACCCGCCCTCTTTGTCCTCGACCGTACCCCCTTGGGGATTTATCTTTCTTACCTGCAACGTGTATTTCGCGCAGCGCTTGAGGCAGGGGACGCAAAGACGGATGGAAGGAAGGACAAGGGGGAGGGGGAGGATGGAACATGGGTTAGGAGCAGGAAACACGTGGCAGAACCAGACGGGCAGATCGGGCGGGTAGATCCTACCAGGCGGGTCGGGAAGGAGGGCCAGGGCGGCCAGGTCGAGCAGGCGGGTTGCTCAAGCGTGCGTCCTGCATGAATCGCGAGGAAGTTTCGAGCGACAGCTCGATTCACAAATCAATTTTGAGGAAATTCACAGCGAGAGCGTGACTCTTGAATGTCGAGGGCGCGGGTCTGAATACAGTGCGAGGAAGTCCCACGCGAGAGCGCGATTCCTGAATCACTTGTGAGGAAGTCCCGCGCGGGAGCGCGATTTGGGAATACACTGTTCGGACGTATCAGGCCCATGCTTCCCACATTCCTGCGGCAATGTGGCCCTCGGAAGGGTCTTGTGTCCTCTCGCGTGTCCTGTCCAATCGAGTCCGACTGTAGACGTAAGAGTGACCTTTTCGCCAGAGTGTTTTTCGGTGCGGGCCCACCGGGGTCCCCCGATCGCCGAGCGCGATGCGATAGCAGCGTCTTGCGCGCCCGTATTTGGCTCCCCCGCGCGCTTGCAGCCCCCTGGCAGCCCCGGCAGCTTGCAGCCCCCGCCCAGGGCTCCTCTTCCCACATTCCTGCGGCAATGTGGCCCTCGGAAGGGTCTTGTGTCCTCTCGCGTGTCCTGTCCAATCGAGTCCGACTGTAGACGTAAGAGTGACCTTTTCGCCAGAGTGTTTTTCGGTGCGGGCCCACCGGGGTCCCCCGATCGCCGAGCGCGATGCGATAGCAGCGTCTTGCGCGCCCGTATTTGGCTCCCCCGCGCGCTTGCAGCCCCCTGGCAGCCCCGGCAGCTTGCAGCCCCCGCCCAGGGCTCCTCTTGCTGCCCCGGCGCTGAGGCTTCGGCGGTAGGTCCTGCTCTGCTCCGCGCTCGGTAATTCGGCCCCCGCGCGGCCCGCTCGGACCTTACTCGCCGTTGGCGCGCCCGCCTACGGCTGCTAACAAAAAAGTAGCCGAAGCAGCCTGGGCCCCCCGTGGCGCCACAGCGGGCACTCTGGGATCCAGGCGCGGCGGCCGCTGCCGCGAGTCGCGTCCGGGCAGCAGAGGCCCAGAGGGGCCGCGGCGGTCGGGGGTGGCCAAGAGAGGGGTGATGACTTGATGGGGGGGGGCGGAGGAGGAGGAGGAGGGGGAGGAGGAGGAGGAGGAGGAGGAGGAGGAGGAGGGAGGAGGAGGAGGGAGGAGGAAGGAGGAGGAGGAGGAGGAGGAGGAGTAGGAGGAGGAGGAGGAGGAAGGACGAGGAAGGAGGAGGAGGACGAGGAGGAGGAGGAGGAGGAGGAGGAGGAGGGGAGGAGGAGGAGGCCTCTTCCGCTCTACGCCTTCCAACCTCCCCAGGACGAGCACGTCGCTTGGGTCCGTGGGTCGGGGATTGTTGAAGGGCCCAGCGTTTATGTGGACGGCGCGGCTTTTGAATCCCAGTTTCCCGATTTGTGCGTTTGTGGATGGGCGCTCGTGTCCATCGGAGATGGCCCCGGCACCCCCCAGCAGCGTGTGAATGCCAAGGTCATTGGCCTCTTGTGCGAACCCGTCCCTGATATCGACGGGGCCGAGCTTCTCGCCATCATACATGTTCTGATTTTTTCTATGCCTCCTATCCACGTTTGTTCGGGTTCCGATTTTGTCGTCAAGGGGATCCTGGAGAGGGGCGAGGCCGCCACCACCCACCCCAAGGCGGCTTGGGCCCACCTGTGGAGGAGGTTTTGGAAGCTTTTAGACGAGTTTGGGGGCTTGGGCCCCCTGGGCTTGTGGGTCTCGAAAATCAGAGCTCATGCGACCGTCGCCGACGTCCAGGCAGGCCGCGTGCGAGACATCGACCGCACTGGTAATGGCATGGCCGACGAGGCGGCCAAGGAGGCCGTGCGGCCCCACCGCGCGCCGCCCGCCCTGCTCTCTCGCTTCCAGCAATGCGATCAGTTTGTGCTGGGAGTCGGGCTCTGGATTGCTATGGCTGGAGCCGTGGCTGCCGACCATGACACCACTCATAAGAAGACCTTCAAGCGCTCTGCCCCCGCCCTCCAGATGTACGAACCCAAAGTTGTGCACTCGGTGGTGTCTGCGGGCGGTGCCGTGTGGTGCCGTGTCTGTCGGTGTGTGGGGGTTACAGCTGGAGGAGAGTGCGGGGGGAACGTCCTCCCGAGGGCCGTCGCGGCGTCGCGGGCTCTTGCTGCTGAAGGCCACCGACCGCACAGGCTCCTCGAAGTGACCCTCTCCTCTGGTGCCCCTGCCCCGTCCCACCCCGTCGTGGTATGTGAAGGCTGTGGGTGCGGTGCCAGTCATCGAATATTGGCCCCGCTCCTCACCCCTTGCAATGGCAAACCCAGCGAGCACGGAGGTCGTACCCTTAAGCAGCTGATCCAAGGTTTCATGCCTGGGTCCCGGAAGGCTGCCA